GAAACCAGAAAATTACTTTCAAAGGCATTTACGCTCCATCTAGCGTCTATGCCAAAGACCAATTGCTAGTGTTAAATATCAACCATAACCATAAAGAGCATTTCGTGTTTTAAGGAATTAATTAAGCTTTCTCAGTGACAAGAATAGCAAGTAGTATCTGAAAAAATGACATTAAGAAACTAATCAAACGAGCACAAGCGACAAAACTTCAGAAACTCGTCTGCTACCTTGTTGCTAAGTGCTTCCAAACAGGATCTGCACTCAATATATCTAGAACTTCTGTATCCTGACCAAAAGCAAATCTCACATTAATCCCCCAACAGAAGCTGAAGAAAGGTAGCAAGGCTTAACCTACATTTCCGACAAGTGCAACTACAAATAAATTTCAACTCATCAATTTTAAGATATTCTCGCACTATCTCAGTTCAGTAAACAATTTATTAAACAGTATCAGCTTTAAAAAAAAAAATGGAAAAGTTATCACCTTCCTCCTACCAGCAATATTTTCAACATGATGATGAAAAATTGAGTTGGGAAAACATCAAAATAAAAAAAATAAAAAAATAAAAATCTGAAAACCATCGATTCTTAATACACTCAGCTGCAATAAACCTAAATTAAATAGAAGTTCAAATGAATTTACCAAAGTTTCAGTATCCAGAGCATTGAATTCGACAGGAGAATTCATTTGCCGGTTGGTTTGCCCTCCGTCGCACGCAATGGTGGTTCGCGACTTCGCGTACAGAGGAGGGAATAAATTGATCTTGATAAAAGCTCTAAACAATAAAATATTACAAAATTAAAACAAAATTGCAAACAATGTTAAATTCTGAGCAATCTACGGATATTTGAAATAATACATATGTTAAAAGAAAATGTTCAGGATTAGAAACCAATCTTGCACACCCGAGTCGCATTCATTAAATTTATTTTTTTTCTAAATTCATTTCTAAGCACTGTACATTCTTTAAATAAAATTATTTTACATATGGCCCCGTTTGAGTCACATTATTGTAAAAATGATAATGAAAAATATAAACATTATGGATCCCACATAAGATATAAAAAGTTAAATATGATGGCTTGATGTGATGAATAACGATCATATTTTTTATTTTAATGAAGAAAATGACACTGAAATAGCGCTATAAGCTTAAAATTTTACCTACTTTCTAAACATGAATCCTCAAAAAAATAAAAATAAAAAAAATAAAAAATAAAAGTCACTTTCTTCAAAATTTATTCAAAGATAATGAAGTTTAAACAGAAGCAAATTACCCTATTCGAATTGTTTTGAAAGTTAATTTGACGATGTTTTGGGTTAAAAACTACCAGAGCTGGGTTTGCAAATTTTTTTTATATTAATTAGTCAGCTAACTTTGACTATTTGTTTAATTGAATAGTGTATTGTTAGGGGTTGCAATCGGAATAATCGGCTCGATTTCTCTGGCCTAATTTAAAAAATAAATAAACAAACAAAGGTTTAAAAGGCAACAGGTTACTGCCTATATATATATATATATATATATAAAATCGAGCTTGCCCGGCTCAATAAGACATGAGCCGAAAGCTCGAGTTGAGCCTTGATTTCTTGGAGCTTGACTCGGGTTCACAAAAAAGCTCGAACCGTTTTACTCGAGCTGAGCCCGAGCCTCGAATTTTGGCTCGGAGCTGGTTTAGATCGACTCATTGACACCACTATGTACTGTAAATATTTCATACTTTGTCGTGTGTTTTCAACCATGTCAGGGTGTTGTGAATCAATTTGTTAAAATTGCTTTGGTTTGACATCAATTTTTTTTTTTTTTTTTTTTAACTATCCTTGTATTCAAACTGTTTTAAAGTGATATAGTTGAGTTCAAAATGGAAAAGTTGATGAATCCATGTAAATTCAGCCACTCTTTGGCTCCATTTTAATGTGATTTTGAGAGAAAACATACTTTGAACTACCATTTTTTTTTTAAAGAATGTGTAATTTAAAAATAAGGAAAAGTTTTGAATTTATTTGTAATATTACCTCTATTTGTGCTTCATTAATCCAAAAATACATTTTTCATTCTTTTATTTTCAATCACATATTCTTCAATAAAATAGACAATCTAAAGGTCTTCACTATTTTTTAATCACACATTCTCCAAAAAACATTATCACGAAAATTTCTCTACTTTTTTTTTTTTTTTTTTTTTTTTTTTTTTTAAACTCAAAATGAGGCTGAAACAATGGAAAACATAATTTACGCATTACAAAATTGTATAACATAATGTAGTCTATGAATTGTATAACATAATGTACGCACCACAAAATTCATGAAAGTTCTCAAAATCATTGAAAAAAGTAACAAAATAGAAAGGAAACATAAGACATGGGAAGGCAATGTTAATTCTATTCAAAGAGCAGCATCTTTATCGAGAAAAGCTGGTCTACTCGCCAACACTAAACACCACAAGAACCGTAGAGGTTAATGTTGCTGGGAAACTCAATTCAAATAACGAATGCACTTCATTTCTCCTGTCAATGACGAATGTAAAAGCTAATCTCTTTGAAAGCAGCAGATGACATCAAATAGATCACTTGACACTTCATTGCCTCTCATCTGTTGGCTAAAACTGTTTCTCATAACAATTTTCCCACTCTCTAGTCTAAAGAAGGATATCATCTTATATCACCAAGCATGTAGAATATACAACAAAACTTTTTCTTTTTCCTTTTCTTTTTCATTTTTAATGACCGTGGGTGTTCGGGCCAGTTGACGCGCACTTCGACTAATCTCACGGGACCCTGAAGTTTACAGCCGTCAGCCGGGTACTCACTTCAGTGACTCTAAGGGGATTCGAATTGATGACCATTGCGGAGCAAAACCAATGCCTGAATATACAACAAATTTTAAGAACTACTTTCCATCCAAATACAAAAGAATTCTGTGAAATCTTAAGTTACAGAATCTCTAGAGCAAAGAAAGCAAAAACAATTACAATCCACACGCAGATAAGTGGTGTTATCAAGACAAACTTGTGCTTCGACAATCTATGTTGATTTTGCTCACCAGTAATCACCACAAGAACATGAGCCATCCACGAAGTGGTGAAATCGGTTGCGATCTCTTACAACGATTTTTCGACCTGTGATTTTGGATATAAGCTTAGTAACAGAATGACAATCTGGACACACTCGAAGGTTCTTGACAATCTTGATTGTAGATCCCGGTTGAGTGCTAATAAGACCAAAAGCAATAGCAAGCCTTTCACTGTGAAACTCTAATGATTTCTCTTTGTCCGAATCTCCAATGTCGTGTAGCACTATTTCTGTCTGTGGTAAGTAACCATGAGCCTTAAGCCATCCATTTATCTCCTTCAGCATCTCATAAATTTCTTTACATTTTGGATGTTTCAAGTCACCAGCAAGAAACTCGTGTACTTTATTATTAACCTCTATTGAGCTACAACCAGGCTCCTTGAGAACCCCACTTTGCTTCATCATACCCCTCACTCTTGCCACCCCATCCCAATTGCCTACTGAAGCATATAAATTCGAAAGAAGAACATAAGTTCCAGAATTTGCAAGGCCACGTTCTATGAGGAATTCGACAATTTTCTCTCCCATGTGGATCTTCCTATGAAGTGTACATGCACCTAGCAATGTTCCCCATAAAACTGGGTCAGCATCATTGTTCATGCTATTGACAAGCTTGTAAGCTTCTTCTAACTGCCCTGCTCGTCCTAGAAGATTGACCATACACCCGTAATGTTCAACCTTGGGCTGAATCCCGTATAGATCTTTCATTGAATTAAATACACCCCATCCTTCAGAAACCAATCCAGCATGTGCACAAGCATTCAAAATTCCAATAAATGTTATCTCAGTAGGGAGGAGGCCAATGCCACGCATGTTGTTGAACATTTCCATAGCTTCTTGACTAAATCCATGACTTGCATACCCTACAATCATTGAATTAAATGCAACAGCATCCTTGTCCTTGATCCCATCAAACACCATCCTTGCACCCTCCAAACTTCCACATTTGCAATACATATCAACCAAAGCACTACCCATCCGAGCATCTACTGGAATCCCATTATACTGTATGTAAGAATGAATCCACCGGCCAGACTCCAATGCTCCCACCTGCCCACAAGCAGAAAGAACTGCCAGCAGAGTTGCCTCATTAGGCTTCAGCTTTGCCTGCAACATCTGCCTAAAGAGAATCAAAGCATCATTAGGTCTTCCATTCTGAGCATACCCATCGATCATCACATTCCAAGACACAACATCCCTCTCCTCCATTCCATCAAACAATATTCTCGCCTCATCCAAAAGCCCATTCTTTGTGTACCCGGTTATCATTGCAGTTAAGGAAACCAAATTATGCTCAGGCATTGTGTCAAAAAGTTTACGAGCTGAGATAATATCCCCACCTTTTGTATAAACATCCATGAGAGCAGTTCTGACGTAAGTATCAGACTCCAGGCCAAGTTTAAGCACTTGGCAATGGAGGGATTTCCCAGATTCCAACTGGCAAGCTTTGAGGACAGTGGACAATGTAAATGCATTAGGTTCCACGTCTTCAGATAACATTTGCACATAGAAAAGAAAAGCTTGCTCGTGGAGATCATTTACAGCATGGCCATGGATAATGGCAGTGTAAACGTAAACACTAGGCTTTTGGGTGCGATTAAAGAGGGACACAGAATGTCCAAGATTACCCAGAGAACAATATGAGCGCAGGAGCTTGAAATTTAAGACTGGATGGCTTTCCAGACCATGACGGATGACAAATGCATGAATTTGCCTCAGTTGCTTGATGGATTTGCTTTTGTTTATGAGCAATGCCAGTCTTTCCGGCTGCAGACCATTAGTTTGCTTGGTGTTTGAGTGTAGAGGCAGAACGGTAGAAGCAGATATTGACGACATGACTTCACTCTTCAGTAGCTCCTCCATTTCTGATAGTTTCACTCCATGGGACACTAAGCATAACTCTGTGATACTTTCCATGACAGAAATTATTGGATAGCAGCCCCATCATTTAATCTGATACCTGCAGCATCTTGAAGTATACACAATCAGAAAGCAAATTGAAGAACTTGGCACATGATCCGGATTGTTTAAATTATAAATTGAGTTGGTCAAACCGACTTTTATCCACTCATTCTATATGACCCCCAACCATTACCCACTTATCCACTACTTATTTATATCAATTTGTGAACAATCCCAAAAGAAACAACCTAAAGAAATCTAAACGTCACAAAGGAAAACACGTCCAATCATATGGAATTTGATAGATTCAATGGCTAAGGTATAGATTCCAAAAGTAATCACGATGACACAAAAAAAGGGTACTGTCCGATGGGCGATGGCCCTTTCCATTTCATATATTAAGACAGACAAAGGAAAGCATATTTAGCGTTGAGAAACACGTACACCTCTACAATGGCACCATAACTGTGTGTATTTTATTCCAACATTGAGAAGATTACAGAATCAGATGGGTTTACCAAGCAGCTGGAGTTCAAGATATTACACATATAATACATGTATATATGAACAGAAAAGTTTCCAATTTCTGCAGCTGCTGATTGGATGGCGAACGAAGGGTATAGAACTATAAATAATAAAGTAATGGAAAGCAAAGATTTACAATGGACTGTAGTCATGATTCTAAAAAATGGCAAAAGGGAATTCCTGGCGTACAGTAAAGAGAAGATAGACAGGGAGCTTGGGATTACAATTTACAAATTATTTTATGCATGGCAAAGATTAAACTATTCAAGGATACTGGAAAATGACCATAGCAGAACGAATAATCAGACTAAAAAGCGAATGGCTTCCCTCCAGATAAGATAAATTTAGACAGAAATTGGCCGTAGCCTTGTACAGAATTTATGTACAGGCTGTGCAGTTCTGTTCGGAATATTCACAAACAGTTTGAAGACAACGAGTAGTAACGCACTGAAAAATTTTAGACAATTGAAAGGCTCACCGGTAAGAGAATGCTACTTGCCGGAAAATGTCCGCCGTATAAATGAAAGGGAAGCAATAGTGAATTTCGCTGTAATTCACGGACACCTATGGCTTAAGATTGTTTGCTATTACGACACTTTATTTATCCACTCAAAAGTCCGTACGGCTTGAATCGGCTGCCACCATAAAAGACTGGTGTAGCCGTCCCCCACGTACGTTCGAACCTACCTGTCCACCGCAGGGAACGATGATCTAATTTAAATTAGATAAAGATCAAAGTGTAGTAAATTTTAGTAAAATTCATAATATGTATAATTAAAAAATTATGAATTCCATAAAATTTGTAGTTGAAATTAATTTTTAGTTTTGACCTTTATTTTATTTTATTTTATTATTATTATTAGTTTTTAGTTGAATCAAACAATTGTTGGAAAAATAATTAGTTGCAGCAGTGATCAGAACAATATAATGCAGAAATATAAAACTTATCGTCCGATCGAGTCTCGTGACAGCACGATGTCCTAAAGTGAAATTGCCCGTCAATAATTGCTGTGACCTCCGTGGACAATCACTCCCAGGATACAACGATCGTAAACCACTTATGCAGCAATCACGAATGGTTTTTTTAGAACTCTCAATTGTACTCCAGAATAGGTATAAAAACCCCGAATATAACAAATCCACAATATGAAAAGAGTGATTGATTCTATTTTCTTTTTGTGTGTCTTTTCCCAAAGCAAGATATGGGTTTATATAGGCAAGATGGTAGTAACAGTCTTCACCATGTTAATGCAGAATTTTAATGACTGAGTAGTGGGTGTTTTAATGGTAGTTAGTGGGTTGTTACAAAAACAAACAGTCATAAAATACTGGCTAGTTTTACCCATTAAATAATGAAGAAAAAAATATTTATTTTAGTCAAGGAAGCCCAAGAGCCCAAGGCCCAAATCAAGACATTTT